AGGATTAAGCGGTGTATAGATGATGGATGGATGGGCATGATATCCTAAACATATACATGATCAAATCTAATATGAAGATGACATATGTATTTCATGGGGTGTGCTTGTTAATGTGCCCTCGTATAGAATGAAAAAGTTTTTTATCAAGTTGATTAAAACAGACAGAAGACACCTGACAAACACAATAACACCTGTACACAGTTAGAAATGTATAGATAATGGATGGATGTATATGAGGTGTGTCACAAAATTTCTAGGTCTGGTGTCACATTTGTAACCCAAACTACGACTTTTCCCCTTCAGACGATCAACCAGCACGTCTACAAAGAGATCCTGCGGTGTTTGCTTCGTTCAGTGCGCGAGAAGAGGTGAGAGTTGCGGCTGGACAAGTCATGGCTGCTTCACCATGACAACGCTCACAATGCCCTGAACATCTGACAGTTCCTGGCTGAGAAGAACGTCTCCGTGCTGGAGCAACCTCCCTACTCACCCCACCTGGCTCCGTGGGATTTTTTCCTCTTCCCCAAGCTCAAGGGGGTAATCAAGGGGATTTGAAGACGTGGACGACATCAAGATGGCTGTGAGGACGGATCTGCAGAGAATCCCTGAAGAATCCTTCCAGGAGTGCATGGCGGCGTGGCAGAGAAGGCTGGGGAAGTGTGTTAGACTCCAGAGGGATTACCTCGAAGGGGAAAACTTGTAGTTTGGATTTGAAATATGTCTGTTGTGACACCAGTCCTGAAACTTTTCTGACACACCTCGTAGTTTCTCACACTATGAAGAGCATTTAGGAACAGTTTCATTATCTATTGAACACATATTGTGTCATTCCACCTCAATCCACCAGTTTTCAGAAAATCTTTCCGTATGACCATCTCGGATTGGGTTGAAAAAATTTGAGGACGGGGGATTGTCATGAAGATGGCATAATCCCAAGTTTTAGGGTGATAACTGTGATAGCTTTTGCTACAAAAACTTCAATTTTTGCCACATTTGTGACAAGACTTTGGATGACAATATCTCAACAAGTATTTAAGGTACAGACTTAAAATTTTAAAGTTGAGTAAAATTGCAATACTTACCATGTTTGAGGGTAAATATATCAGAGGCTTTATGTGTCATCTTCATGAAATTTGGTATATTTAAACATCCCATATTGGACCACGTAACACAAAAAATTCAGACCTCTGCTGTAAATTCTGTATGTTTTATGGGTGTACAAAATGGTCTTGGGTGTTAATATTTCCTTACATTCAACAGGCTTAGAATCTCAGCATAGACACTGAGTATTTAAACACCTCTACAGGGGAAATGAGTTCTCAGATTTGAACTCTGTATCTTAAATGCTTGTTGAGATATTGTCATTCAAAGTTAGGCTTGTCACAAATTTGACAAAATCTATTACAGTTAAGACCCTAAAACTTGTGATTATGTCATTTTGATGATAAATTTCCATCCTCAAACTTTTTCGACCCAATCCAAGATTGTCATGGGGGAGCCATCTGGTGAGCTGAGATGGACTTTATCTTAAAATAATCTTCTTGATTCTTAAGTTTCTTAAAAACACTAAAATCATTAAATTTCAATCTAAATTAGCAAAGCGCTGCAGCTTAGTGTAGTTTCATGCCATTTGGTACTGACTGGAGTTTTCCATTTTCTGTTACTTTACACTTCATACTTTAGTACTATACTATACCATTATGGTGTATTATCATTAATTATTCATCTCTCAATTCATGAGCTACCCTGCGGTGTTTAAGGTTTCTAAAATCAGCTCCACCTTTACCCGCTGTAACGCTAAAGTGATGTCTAGACATTAATGCATCAATATTTAGAATCCAATAATATAATGCACATCCTGAAATGGGCCTTTCTGCATAATGAGTACTTAAGCTTTTAGTGCATTAAGTATATTTTAATGCTAATACTTTGGTAAAATGCATGAGTTTTGCTTTTACAGAGTGATTTCCACTGTCGTCCTGCTACTTTTAGTGAAGAAAACGATCCAAACACGTATTTTTCCCCAGTATCAGATCTTTTACTTGCATGGTTTTCACTGGACTGGGACTTTGTGTTCTCTCGCATCTTAATGTTTGCTATCAATTTGCCATGACAGCTAGTGTACCTGCTCAAACAACAGCTGCTAGGCAAACATTATCCCAACGCTGAGCTGAAATCGTCTATACCTTGTAATCCCAAACACTGTCAACCTACTTTGTGGAAACCAAGTGACGGGTGGAGAACTATATTTAGCTGAGACATTATCTCTCCATCTGATATCAGTGCCAAAGCAAATTCCTCGGCTTCTAAAAATGACACATTCCCCGTTCTCTCTGCCTTCAGCCAACCATTACCGCCAAGCCCCGGGCTGGCGTTATTAACATGCTGCTGGAGTCTGGAAATCATGACCTCTCCTCATCTGCATAACATTGCAGCATTTAGAAACGACAAGATGCACAGACAACAGAATCAATTTCTGAATAAGAAAAAGGGACATCCAGGATTCTGAGGCTCATTCAGCTATTGATCAATCAGCTCAATGAGGTGCTACAGCGCACAGCTGCTTCCTTCTCCATTCATACATCAACATTAAAGTCTGTGATTTATGACAGGGTGTTTTTCATCCCAGATACCTGTGCAGATGTGCCTCACTCTACACGGAATTTGAACCGGAGCACCTTTTTTTTTCTCTTTTTTTTTGTATCTGCCATTATAATACGACCCTGGACAGACTTATTTTCTCTCCGATGACAGGTCTGAATAGTGATAAACAGCCCACTCAGTGATGCCTTTGCTCGCACCCAAACACAAACAGAGCTAAATGAGAGCAGAACCCAGGAGAGCGCTGGTGTTTTGCTGAAAAGCATAATGTGTTACTGCTGGATGCGAACGCTTTTCAAAATGTCAATTTCATGTATCATCATGCATTTAATTGCTCTCAGCCTGGCAGCTGGTTTCCAACTTTAAGTTATTAAAAAGGCTTTAACAGCTTTTTCAAAAGTGCAATTAATATATTTCCAGCTGTGTGGGCATCGACTCTAAACCTGAATTAAACTGAGAACTTCAGGAAGCGATTATCATACCAATGTGAGTTATGCTCTCCGAAAAAGTAAGATAAGCCTAAACCTGAAACTAATATGCTGATTCATTTCAATTACAGCCCACTTTAACTGCCATGTTTTAGGATTTACTTCGAGTGGAAGACTTCCAACTCTGAAATCACTAATGCTCTTTCAGCGAAAAATAAAAAAAAACTACCTGATAACAAAGTCATGAGAGTCGATCTCAAGTCCGCAGCTGCTGTTGAGCAGGATCCCAGAGTTGCCCACAATGGCACAGCGCCTGTGATGTTGGTTCTTCATGGGGGATACAGTTGGCAAGAGACGGTAGAGATTTTCTGAGATGTTTGTGGTGCTGTGGCGATCAAAAACATAGTGGATGATATCTCCTGGTTTCAGCGTGCCCTTCAGAATCGAGATATCTCTCTCGGGGTCGAGGAATCTCAGAATATTCTTCCTGCAGAAAGAGAAAAAATATGCTCTGGTTAGAAACGACTCTGCTTAATGGAGCGCAAAACCTTGCAGGGATAATGGTGGCGAGTGATTAAAATACCTGATGAGGTTGGAGAGGGTCTTATTGAAGGTCCAGCTGTTTGGCGAGTGTTTGACGGCGGTATTGTTGCTCGGACTCTGATGAGCTACGTGTACGCTCGGCCTTGTTAAAGCAGTGGGATCCGCACGCGCTGCAGCCTTTCTAAACGACGAGAAAGATTCCTGTTACTGACATAAAATCTTGATCTTGAAAAATGCTGGTTAATAAAAGACACATGATACGTTATTTAGTCAATGCACTTCCCTTTATTTGCAATTCTAAGGGTTTTAAATTGGAGATGTAACTTCTCCAAGCAGCTCTACAAATAGACTACGAAACATGGAGTCCTGAGAGTAGTTTGTGGTTGAAGTGTTATATAATCAGCAAGCGTGTAATGAAATGCATTTATAGTCCAGATTGTGTACCAGTGAACTACATTTCATGGATTACTACACACTGTACTTCATTGCTTTCATTGGTTATCAGCATATAATGAGCATTTTTTACACTTTTAGTCGAGCACGCTTATGAATGCGGGGCTGATGAGTACTTATTGTTACTTCTGCTTAACAAAAGAACACAAACTGCTGCATTTAGACAAAACCGACATCCCTGACAAGCCTTGAACGAGGCTTAGATGCTGCTGTTGGAAACCGCAGCGTTTCAAAAGTTGAATTAATCTCCACTCTTACAGCAGATGTTTGTACTGCCACACAGATATGACCACGTTGATGGGTATTTATAGCCGTCTTGCCTTAAAGAGGTGGATGACTCATTGTGTTATAAAGGCTGCAAAGGATTCAATGACCAATGGCAAGTGAAAATTATACAGAGACACGGAGCTCCCCGCTGGTGGTCTGCAGCTATATACGCACACATGTGAGAGTGTGAAGATAAGATTTCAGACCTGTGCGGTTTCGGGATGAGCCGATGTAAGTTCATCTTCTTCGAATGTCCAATATTTCTGGGGGGGAAAAAGCGATTGGGATTGAATTATGAACCACTTAGCCGCTGCCTGGTTTCTTACATTTAATGCAACCGACTGTATTCAGCAGCAGGCCTACTGTACATCCGTCTTTCAAGGCAGAATGTGAAAAGCACACATCAAGGTATTTTTAGAGAGCTCCACTGTGGGCCCATTTGCTGATGTAATGAGGAGAAATGTGGCCTTAATGGGGCCCCATTATACTGAAAGGAGGGTTTTCTTTTCACTTGGAAGTGAGCAATCTTTCTACAAGGGCGTCAAATTCATCAGCCGAGATGCGTTTACAGTAGATACGCCGCATATGCATTCAAGATTCTAAAGCCCGAGGCAATTTTGCAATCATGACCTTGGTCACATCTGATAAAATTGTGACAGGCTGCCGGCGGCTGTCTAAATGAAGGAGTGAAAATCTGAATCAGAAGACTGCCGCCGGCCTCCTTCTCACTCATCTTTTTTTTTTTTTCTTTCCCCCCCCTCTTACAATCCTGGCGGCCTTTAAACACATTGTTCTAAGTGTATTAGAGCTGCATTTATGCAGGAGTGGAATTGGTTCTGGTTCTTCTCCCACGGCGAATCACAAACCAATGTGACCTCATTACAATGTGAGCCACAGCCGGGTAATTGCATTCAAAACAAAACAACAAAAAAAATGCTCTTGCTGGAAGGAGGGAGAGGAGAGGGGGAAATGTGAATCCAAAAGCTTTGCACTGGAGGGAAGAAAAAAGTCTGCAGGTAAAACATCCTGAGAAGGAGGATGCTGGAAAAGTGTGGTTGGATTTTTCATGCTAAATGAAGACTGTGTTTTCTTGCAGGTCAAATGCAAGTGGGGCATGTGTGTGTGTGTGGAAGATTTCTGCTGCACTGCTCAACATTTCAAAGTGAAGAAATAGGAAAGCCTCTTTTGTTTCCAATCTGTTGCCCCCCTCCCCTCCTCTTTCTGTCTCACACACTCACTATTCTCCCCCTTATAGTGTAAATGTATCCCATCCCGCATGCAGACTGCTGCAAGACAAATAGCCTAATCCTTGGAGACCCATGCAGGCAGGCTGCTGTCGGAACAGCTGCTCCTGCTGCACCCAAGTGTTACAAATGTAGAAACAAACCGCACACACACACTTTTTTTTTTTTTTTTACCTCCTCTCACCACATTCAAACTTCAATGCAAGAAACTTCATTCATTCCACTCATTTCATTCCCTCTCTCTTTCTCTTTTACATTTCATTAAAATCTGCTGGACAAGAAAACAATGGAGCTGCACTACAAAAAAAACACACACACACACTAGAAAAAAAAAAATCAATTGGGCTCACTTACGCAGTTTCTTCTTCCACTTGTGCAATATCATCAATGATCAAAAGCACAACCAGCAGCGTTACAAAGCCGAACAACAGCGTGCGGAATACGAGCGGCATGGCTGAGGAGGAGGAGGAGGAGGAGGAGGAGGAGGAAGAGGAGGAGGAGAGAGGCTGCAGCCGGGAGTCCCTCCTTTCACCAAAACACTGGCTTGGGTTCACCTTTTTTTTTCCATTTACAAATCCACAATCCGCTCAGTCATCTCCCTGCCTTTTGTTCTTATCGCTCGGACACTCCCCGAGGCGAGCTGCGGTGCCGGAGCTTTTTGTTGTTGTTGTTGTTGGATTGTGTGCTTGTTTCCCGACGCTGCTGCTGCTGCTGCCGCCGCCGCCGCCGCCGCTGCCTCCGTCTCCACTGTTCCCTCTTATTCCCCAGTCAAACTTTGAAAGCGTGCACCTACGGAGCCTGCCATGGGAGCAGCGGAGATGTGGACCACATGCAGTCTTAAAGGCGCAGGGAGTCAACAACTCTCTCTACATCCGCACAAACCTGCCGCCGCTCCGGGTCCCCAGGTCTCCAGGTGTTGTTCACCGCAGTGTGGTGGATCCAGCTGCACAGGTGCAAAAGGAAAAAGAGAGAGAGAGAGAGAGATTTTGCCCCAAGTGGTGTAAAGGATGCAGGGATCATCATCTGCAGCTTTCACATGATATGTGTGTGTGGTGGTCTGATAGCCTACATTTCAAAATATAAAGGTCAAAGCTGCAATTAATGTACAGTGAGAGAGTCCCAGACACCCACTGAAGGGAATGAGGGCCATCTTTTTATAGCTGAGCTCCCCCACTGGCTTTAAAAGTAGCATTAGACTGTATGTGATGCTACTTTACTTGTTCTGGTTTCACTCT